TCTTGTTGTTTCATTTTTAGTGGTATTTTTAACCTGTTGTAGAAACAAACATTTTTTTTGTTTATATATATATATATATATCTGTGTGTGTGAGTGACTATTGAAGAATTGATAGAATAATTGGTTTTGAGTGTATTAGGGCATGATGCTAGGTCCTGATTAGACTTGGATGATTAGTGGTATTTGCTAATCAGTTAATTTATGGTCATGTTAATCGACTAACATGAACCTCCCACCTTGTGCAAGAAATAAAAATAAAAACAACAAAAAATGGGAGTGTGGTTCTAACTCCATAATTTTTTCAACCACTGCATTATTCTTATATGGTATTAATCTTTGTAACTTCATTCAATTTTCTTTGTTGTTGTTGTTTTTTAAAGTAATTTTCAAATTGCTATTGGTTTCATACAGTTTTTACAAAAAACATATTTTTTTTTATCCAAGAAAAAATGTTTCCACAATTTTTTTTACTTAAGATAATCTGGACATTTACAATTTGTTGATTGAATCCCAACATCAGTTAGATATCACCAAGCAGTTATTATTATGTTAGTGTTTAAAATATTGTGTCAATTAAATACATTAGTAATCAAACATTTTTTTGTTATCACCGATAAGAGTAATAATGTTTAATAATATCGCATAATATGCGATTAGGAGTAATTAAGTAGCAAGTTAGCCAATTGTTTGAAAACTTAACACACTAAAAACCTATGTCTTTACTGATACTTAACACACTAAAACCCATGTCTTTACTAATACTTAAAACACTAAAACCCATGTATTTACTAATACTTAAAACACTAAAACCCATGTATTTACTAATACTTAAAACACTAAAACCTATGTCTTTACTAATACTTAACATACTAAAACCCATGTATTTACTAATACTTAAAACACTAAAACCCATGTAGTTACTAATACTTAACACACTAAAACTTATGTCTTTACTAATACTTAACATACTAAAACCTATGTCTTTACTAATACTTAACACACTAAAACCCATGTATTTACTAATACTTAAAACACTAAAACCCATGTAGTTACTAATACTTAACACACTAGACCCATGTCTTTACTAATACTGAACACACTAAAACCTATGTCTTTACTAATACTTAACACACTAGAACCCATGTCTTTACTAATACTTAACATGCTAGAACCCATGTCTTTACTAATACTTAACACACTAGAACCCATGTCTTTACTAATACTTAACACACTAAAATCTATATCTTTACTCATTTTTGGCCCAGCGGTTAGGGCGCTTGACTCTCAATCTGAGGGTCACAAGTTCAAATCCCCATCCCACCAAATATGCTTGCCCTTTCAGCCATGGGAGCATTATATTGTGATAGTCAATCCCACTATTCATTGGTAAAAGAGTAGCCCAAGAGTTGGCAGTGATGACTAGCTGCCCTCTCCCTAGAAATAGGGAGCTTTATACCCCCACCAGATCAGCACCTGCTTATACAACATTAAAGAATATGGATATAGAATTATAAATTAGAAATATAACACAATGTAAAAAAAAAAAGTAGTAAATGTACACTTTATTTAACCTTTAACTAACCAGAGAATTGGTTGTGGGTGCAGTCAGGCAGCTGGCTTTCTTCCAGTTGGCAGTTTAATATTATTGACAGTGACAATTGCTTTAGTAGCTTTGCAATAATAACTACAGGGCAAGCAAGTTTAATAGTAATGGGAATTGAATCCAAGAAACTCGGCATATCCAACTGTGTAGCTATGTGCTTGACAATAACCAAACATAAAGGCATATTTTGATTACTTGATTATTTTCACGACAGATGATTTAATTGTAATTTCAATTAATTGATTGTTGGAACAATAAAAAAATTTGTGATAATCAGAAACATTAATTTTGATTAGTTGATTATGTTCCTAACAGCAATTGATCTAATTGGAATTTTGATTAATTAATTAGTTTACATAAGATCAATCAGTGTAATTGCTGCCCATGTATAGTCAATTGAATGTTTCAGTTCTAGTCTTGACGAAGGTTTTTATTGTTGAAACATTGATCATTTTCTTCTGTTTTTTTGTTTAAAGCTATTTGATCCAGTTTTTTTGTATTTCCAATTTGAATTTTTTTGAAACCAAAAATCGCGTAAAATTTTATGGTGTATAGAATTTGGTGATTTTATTTCACCGGTTGTAACTCTTTAATGAATGAAAGATTGTGCTGAAAATAAGTAAATATCCAGTTCTTAAATGATACATTTTTGAGTGATGTAAATTTGAAAAACTCTTTGCTTTTATAAACATATGATTTGACACTTTAAAATACTTGAAACTGTTCTACGAGGTTTTCAAGGGCTCTGTTAGAACTTTGCATTTTATATATAATAAGAATTGTTTTTTGTGACTTGAAAACATTTTTTAAAGATGTGATTATTGAAAGTCACAATATACCATCTTATTTCCAGGAGCAAACGTTTTAAGATGCATTTTAAGGATTTCTAAAAAAAGGCCCGGCATGGCCAGGTGGTTAGGGTGCTCAACTTGCAATCTGAGGGTCGGGGGGGTTCAAATCCCAACATGCTCGCCCTTTCAGCCGTGGGGGCCTTATAATGTGACGGTCAATCCCACTGTTCGTTGGTAAAAGAGTAGCCCAAAAGTTGGCGGTGGATGGTGATGACTAGCTGCCTTCCCTCTAGTCTTACACTGCTAAATTAGGGACGGCTAGGACAGATAGCCCTCGTGTAGCTTTTCGCTAAATTCAAAACAAATAAACAAACAATTCTAAAGAAAAAAGATAGAGGGCTACGAAGAGGATTGTAGTCGCTCTTTATGAAATCTTACCTTTTATTCTAAATGGTACCTCGTGTTATTTCGTAGTTCATAAGTTGTCATGTGCTTTATTACTGATTAATATGGATTGATTGACTTGAAAATTCAAAATTATCAGTTTTTCTATAGTTTTTGAAGAAAATTTAATGCAGCATACAAGTTATATATTAAAATACAATATTTTTATTAAAAATTGTTAGAATAAAGTCCTTACCTATTTTTTTCCTTTCCATCTGTTTAGCCTGGTCAATCTGCAATCATTGGAAATGCGAGAAAATATCCTGAAAAGTTTGCCTCCATCCTTTGCCTTCTTGACTAAACTTGAGCATCTTGATCTTGGCAGCAATGAATTTGAAGAACTTGTAAGTATTTGTGTCTTTGCATGTAATGTGTATCACTTACAAATAATGATACATAAAATAATGAGATACTAAGATAAGGTATATCTAACTATTTAATAGTAGTAGCAGAATCTGTTAAGTGCATTGTATAGACTTTCCTAACAAATATACCAGCGTATGAATTTAAATAATGTTCACAGCTAGTTAACTGTCTGATACATGTATGAGTTCTCAGTTATTCTGGTATGTTTTACAATACTACCTCGTTTCATGGAAATTTATTGTCTTTTTGAGAACTGGTAAATACCAGATAGTTTTATAAGATTACAAAAAAGATTGTAGCTGCAAATTTTCTGATTTTTCATTAACTTTTAAAAATATTATCTGAAATTTATTATATTAATTTTCTCAATATCTGTGTAAAAGTATTGTGTCGCATTTAATAATCAACATTTTAAAATATTATTATTATATTTCAAATTACAGGAATAGAAAGATAGTTAAAATGTTTCAATTCTTCATTTTAATATTTTTAGCCTGCTCTTATTGGTCAGTTAAGAATTCTTCAAGAACTTTGGTTAGACTGTAACCGACTTTCCACCGTGCCAAAGGTGAGAAATGAAACATTTTAGGCAACAAGATGTGTTACTTATCGTTGTGTCATCTAGTGTTTATGATAATCTGAAAAATGAGAAGATAGGTTTTTGGTAAATAGTAACCTGTAATTCCTGTTGTAATTTGTTTATCTCTGCGATATCACATTGAGATAGAAAAAATAATTTTTGTGTTTTAAGATATTTTAGAATATAGCTACACCACCAAAATAATAACAATTGTAATTTTATTTCCATTTAGATAGTGTAAAATACCCAAAGAATTTGGCATCAGTCAAACGTATTTAAACAAACATTTAAAAAGTTTTTAAAAATATCTGAAATAAACAGAAATTTTAACTTTGTTTATGAGAAGAGAGACAGTCGTGATTTCTATAACAAGAGCCAAAATGATCTGTTCGAAAGATTCCTTAACAGTTTTTTCATTCTTTAGTATCCAACTCTGTTTGTAACAGAGACATTCATCGTACTTACATTATTACTATTTCAAATTTCATGTTCATGAGACGATAGATAGCCGTGATCTTTTGATCTCATTAATAGATTTTTTTGTTTTCCAGTACTAATAATCCCCTTAGTCTTGAAAGTTTATTTGACAAATCTTGTTTTTATTCATAGCTTGTATTGATCGGCAAAAAACAAAAACATTATAATTTTTTACTGGTGTAATCTAAGTTTGTAAAAGTTATTATTGTAACCTTTTCATAACAGAAGATGAATATATCTTTATTCAATTATATTGAGGAAAATATGAAAATCAAATTCATTGCAGTTTGATTAGATTACAAATGGTAAACCAAAATGCTTCTGTTAAAGGACTGATTAACTGGTATTTTAAATTTTATTTTATTACCTAATGCAATACATACAATGTTTTCAAGTTTTAAGGTAGCACACCTCTATCTAGTAATATTTATAGCTCCTTCTAAATTCGCGTATGGTTCATGAAAGTCAGCCAGCAAATTGGAGATGAGATACCACAAAAAAGGCACTTGCAGACAATGTTCCCTCTACATTTTTCAATCCATGTGTGGAATGAATTTTTTCATGTGCACCAGTATCAAGGCAAGGTGTGTGCTACCAGTTTTTCTTTCTTTCTTTTTAGTGAATGATTATTTTAGACCATTGACCCTATTGGATCATTTGACTGCTTTGCAATGCTACCAGTTGGTTATTTTGACTTTAGGACTATCGACTGCCAGGGTCATTAAGGCTGTCAATGTGTTGAGACTCCTCACCATTATTTAGGATGTGCGTGGCTGGAATAATGAAGTACGTGGCACTTGATTGGTTATTGTGCAGCCTAGAGGGAACACTGCTTACAGATGTTCGAACAGAAATGGTTATGTGACGAATATTGCAGCACTGGTAGTTCAAATGTCCAAGTATTGTACAGCTTAGAGGGAACACTGCTTGCAGATGTTCGAACAGAAATGGTTATGTGACGAATATTGCAGCACTGGTAGTTCAAATGTCCAAGTATTGTACAGCTTAGAGGGAACACTGCTTGCAGATCTTTGAACAGAAATGTTTATGTGACTAATGTTGCAGCACTGGTAGTTCAAATGTCCAAGTATTATACAGCTTAGAGGGAACACTGGTTGCAGATCCTCGAACAGAAATGGTTATGTGACGAATGTTGCAGCACTGGTAGTTCAAATGTCCAAGTATTGTACAGCTTAGAGGGAACACTGTTTGCAGATCTTTGAACAGAAATGGTTATGTGACGAATATTGCAGCACTGGTAGTTCACATGTCCAAGTATTGTACAGCTTAGAGGGAACGCTGCTTGCAGATCTTCGAACAGAAATGGTTATGTGACGAATATTGCTGCACTGGTAGTTCAAATGTCCAAGTATTGTACAGCTTAGAGGGAACACTGCTTGCAGATCTTCGAACAGAAATGGTTGTGTGACGAATATTGCTGCACTGGTAGTTCAAATGTCCAAGTATTATACAGCTTAGAGGGAACACTGCTTGCAGATTTTGAACAGAAATGGTTATGTGACAAATATTGCTGCACTGGTAGTTCAAATGTCCAAGTATTATACAGCTTAGAGGGAACACTGCTTGCAGATCTTCGAAACAGAAATGGTTGTGTGACGAATATTGTTGCACTGGTAGTTCAAATGTAATGTGTTTGTCAAAGAATGAAAGGCCATTGTTTGTATTAATGTAGAATATTAGCTCAGACACACAAAAATAATTACTTCCTCAATTCAAACAAATCTTGAAACATATTGTGAAATGAAACTGTACACCTAGCATTAAGCCATTGTCCATGACCAAATGGTAATTTAATACTTGTGTGTAGAGTAATAAATCCAACTACATATTTTTTAGCATGGATGGTTATGTGTGGATTCAAGAGTAACTTGGAAAACTATGGATACAACTATGTTGTCCCATCTGTGAAGAGTGGTGGAGGTTTCTTTCAATTGTTTTGGACTTGTTCTTCTGTTAATAGTTAAGGACAATAAATACCTTTCATTACAACATTCTGGACATTGCCTTCATGATTGGGGTTATATTATGAAGGGTCATGCCTTTTTTACAGTACAGTAATGTACCATGCTATATCACGAGCAATGTTCAACAGTGGTTTGAGACAAGTGATGTCTAGAATCTCCCTTAACTAGCACATAGTTTTATCTTGAGTCCATTTGAATTGCTCCAAGATGTTTTGGAATGTGGCCTGAGGGATAGACTTTGAAATGTCACTACACTTGCAAAAAGAATTATGGCCTGTTCTACTGTACCAATCAATAATTGGTGACATGTTTTAACTAATTTTAGAGACACGCTCACTTTCTATCAACCTTTCTGGGCTGTTGAGCTGAGCATCTTTCAGGTGTCGAGTGAACACCTGTATATCAAATTTCAAAATTTAAGTAAAAAAAAAAAAACTAACTCCATTTAAACCATTTTTCTTACTAAAATATCTTATAACTTATATTTTGTTATTTTCTAATATTATTTAATGTAATTCTCAATGAAAAATGAAAAGAAAATTCAAACTTATATTGCTGCACAGCTCCAAGAAGTATACTCTGTAAATAGCACGTGTATTGATTTTTAAATAATTTCTCTGCTTATTCAAAAACAAAGGAACAACTAAGTAATTATTATTTCTTAAGAATATCGTTCTTGAGGTTTTATTTCTCGTGAATTTTCTTCATTTTCTCTGAATTTTTATTAGGTTACACATTATTTATGTCAATGTAGAGTGAATAAAATAATGTCAGAAGTAATTTTATGATTTCTTGAGAAAATGACAAGACCTCGCTTTAGTAGAGAACGAGAGGATGTAATAGGAAATTTAGAAAACTTGGGAACAAACCACAGATCTGGAATTAGTTTTTTTTAGTTTGTTTAGATGGTCTTATTTTTTTCCCTGAAATCTTTTTTGTGTTCAATAATATTTATTTGAAAGTTTTGGCAATTTCCTTCTATGACGAGCCTTATTAGGTTTGGAGAGTAAATTAAAGATGGCAAAGTATTCTGATGACCCAAATGTGACTCAAAACCTTATTCATTGAATATTATTGTTAAGTTTATCATATTCAAACAACAAACATAAATAAAAAAATATATACTATTGGGAAAAAAGTATACTCATTGCATGTAAGTTGGTTTGATCAAAAATACTGTTGCCTAGCCTGACCTGATAACCATTTTGAAAAGTGAGGTCATAGGTAACCGATAGATATTTGTCACTTTATGCATTGTGTTTTACTATTTATAACTGGAAGTAGTCTGTATATAGTTAAGCACATAGCTACACGATAAGCTATCTGTGCTGTGCCCACCACGGGTAGCGAACTTGGTTTCTAGCATGTGAAGTCGGCAAACGTACTGTTGTGCCACTAGGGAGCTAGCCGGAAGTAGTGACTTCTGCAATTGGCAAAATAAAGTTTGAAAAGAAATATGTGAAGGAAAAAAGCAATAAAACTGAAATTGATTGATCAAGAATAAAGAAATTAAATTCAAAAATGAAATGTTTCTTCTTTTTTTTCAAAAATTTGTCTCATTACAAACTTCTGAAAATTTCACAGCATCTAAAATAATCGAAAAAACTAAAGGAAATAATATGATTTTTTTATCTGAAACTAGATACTATTTAGTAAGCTTGTCCTAAGTTTTGTGTAATTTGTTTTATAAGTATTTTCACTTGTCCAGAAAGGGTTAAAATGGGGCCTTAGGGACAAAAAATAATGCCCTCTCTTTTCAAAATGTGCTATCCAAATAATTTTGGTAGAATAGTTTGTGTGTGTGTGTGTGTGAAGTTTTATAAATGCATTTATAAATAAATATAATTGATATTAATTACTCATTTAGTTTTGCTACAAAGTAACATACTGATAAAGTTTCTAAATTTTAGAGATTTTTACACAAAAGAATAAGTTTATAACTTTGAATTTGTAGTGCTCAAAAAACAAGGTACAAACATTTCTTTATCAGTCATTTTATGTTTAAAAAATTGTTAGTTTCAAGATTCTTGTGTGTAATATATATTAATGTGTGTGTGTATATATATATGTGTATGTATAAATTTGTAGGAAATCAAAAACCTGAAGAAACTAAGCTGTTTAGATATCAGTGAAAATAGATTAGAATTTTTACCTGAAGAAATTTCTGGTTTGGAAAGCCTCACAGACCTTCATCTATCACAAAACTGCCTTGAAGGTCTTCCTAGAAGTTTTGGTGAACTTCGAAAATTAACCATATTAAAGGTAAGAAGCCTTAAGTCATGTGCTCAGTTCTGCCAAATCTAGATGTCTGTAGTTGTTTTTATGTAAATTTTTCAAAAGAACAATATCCTTTAATAACTACATCGTACTTGTGTTTTTCAAGTGTTTATGGTTACCTCTATTTAATATTCTTAAAAGAATTATAACTTCTGCAGGTTAGGAGATACAGAGTATTATAACCTCTGCATCTTATGTTTCTGATGTCGGTTTAAGAAATGACTATTTGACAATCAAAAGTCTTGCACCTGTAACAGTGTATAATTCATTTAGGCTTTTTTTTTTTCTTTCTTTATTCTATGTTATTAAAAAAAATCAAGATTTATTTTGTATGTTTACAATGAATTCTTCAAAGTATATTTATTATTAATTTGTAATCATGGAATGCTAATTAAGGATCAGATGATTCAAATTAAAATACACATTAATTAAAACAGCTCATTTGCACTAATTACCCTGATTTACTAGTGTCGGCTAACTATTACAGTTTCAGTAATTAATTGTAAGAATTTAAATTGATAGATAACATAATTCTTTATACCAGTGTTTCTGGAAACTGCTCATCATAACTACTTTGCCGGTCTGTGGGATTTCACAAAAACAGACAAAATATTCATATATATAAATCATAATGTTCCTTTATTGTACTTGAATTATAGTGGCCTGCATCAGTTTAGGGAGACAGTAAGTTGGTCTCTGCTATTTAAAATGTTGAGAAACACTGCCTTGTACCATTTAGAGAGCTTTAAGTTTATTAATTATTAGAGTCATTGGTTCTTCAGTTTGGTATCATGCTGTTATTTTCTTTTAATGATATTTCTTATTTCACTAACATGTGCTTTTGTTTTCTTCCTAGTCTGACCAGAATAAAATTAGTGCTCTACCTCCGGGGATAGGCAAGTGTGTTAATTTGCAGGAACTGATATTAACAGAAAATCTGTTGTCAGATCTCCCATCTTCAATTGGCAACCTTGTAAAGCTGGCCAACTTAAATTTAGACAGAAACAGAATTACCAAACTACCTTCGCAGATAGGTAATCTAACACAGTTAGGAGTGTTATCTCTTCGTGACAACAATCTCAGCTACCTTCCTATTGAGATGGGGAAGTTGAAGGAGCTTCGAGTGTTAGACGTTTGTGGAAACAGGTTAGCTTACTTATGTTCTTTAAAGGAATTGATAGAGTATTAATACATTTATGGATTATTGTTTTCAATTAAGAAATAAAAGTGTTTGAAAATACAAAAGCTCATCAGTGATATGATAATAATATATATGTCAGTTTGATTAAGTTAATGACAAGGACAAATTTACAAGAAAATGAAATAAGTACTTATATATAGATATTTAAAATATCTTAGAACTTATTTCAATATATATTTTTTCTCCTGTTCCTAAAGACTATCAAGAAAGGCGAACACATATTAACAATATCCAATAAACATTCTATTAAAGTATGCCATATTTTGGATGAATACTCTTATGTATTAGAAGTTATGAAATAAAATGATAAAGAAAGAGGAACACCATAATTTAAATAATATTAATAAATATTTTCTAAATAATAATAAATAATTAAATAATCCAGACAATAAGAGAAAAATAAATATAGGTGTATATATATATAAATATACATGAACACTATGAAATCAGCAGTATCATATTTTTTACACAAATTAGTTAGGTTATTGTGCTGAAAGGAGGGTCCAGATATTGATCAGCCAACAATGGCTGAGAAACAGTGGAATGAGACTCCATAATATATGCATTTACTAATAATGATATATCTTTGGACATTTTCCAAGAACAGAAGGAGAATCATTGTTAAAAATTGCTCTTGTATTCAGACATAGATTTCTTTTTGATGTAAAGCATACATTACAAATAAGTGATTGCTCGTCTTTGGCTGTCTTGCTTCCATAAGGATTGGAAGTAGTCCTGGCAGAGCTACGCATTGGTCACAGTTTTTTAACCCATTGTTTTCTTTTATCAGGTATTGACCCACCGATGTGTAGCCATTGTGACACTCAAGTCACAATAGCCCACATTTTACTGTCTTTACGATCGTGAGCGGCGGCATTATTTTAAACACGTATTCTCTAAGAGTTCACCTCTGACGTTGGACAGTGTCATTGGTAATGATGACACTGTCCGATTAGATTGTATTTTTAATTTTTTATGCACTATAGGTATTTTTAATTCTATATAGATCTTTTATCAACATGTATTGGTTTTAACTCACTGTATTTTTACATTTTACTTTAATTTACTTTCACTGTTTTTACTGGTTGTTTGGCGCAGATAGCCTCCTTGCTTTGCGCCATAAAACACCAAACAACAACAACAAGTGATTGCTCACCAAAGCTGATTCAGACTGCAAAATACATTTAAAGGCAAATAAAAATTATTACATATCTAAAGAATATATTACTATGAAGAAGAAGAAGAAAAAATAGCATATCCCTGGCCATTCTTTGGTCAGATTTCTGACCATAAGTAGTTAAATGGCTCTTTCTTACTCCTGGCAACCTTAAAAGGTTGGCTAGACAGAAAAACTAACTGGGCCTTGACATTTAACTCCACAGCAAGTCACTCTACTGTTTTTTCTAACAAAACAACAATTCCATAAAACAAAAAAGTATAAAAACGATTTTATATTTAAACACAATCAACTCTTATTATCTAACAAAATTTGTGATCAGATTTATACTGAAGGTTGTCATTTAGCTGCTTACGGTTTTCAGTTAAGTAAATTACTCCAAGAGTAAAAACAACGTACCAAATTACACAGTCATAGGTCATACAATTCTTTACTAAGTGCATAAAAATAATACTCCGATCCTTTTTTTCTGTCTCCCACAAATCATTACCTAGGAGGCCATTCATTAAATACCAGAACTCAACAGCTAGACTGGATCTATGGTTGACGAAAGCAGATATGAAATGCTGTTCATATGCAATAAAAGATATTCAATACAGTGGACGTTTGCCGTAAAAAAATACAAGCTGAGGCATTGAGTTCTCAGCATTGAAAGAAAAGCTTCCTATGCAGTAAATTACAACATACAAAGAATAGATCTGAAATGCTATTTCTCTGGTTAGAAATCCATAAAAGATTTGATTAAAAGAAATGCTAAGAAACAAAACAGTCAAACATGATTTAATCACTTTTGTTAGGCCTTATAAAGTCTCAATTCTTCAACAGTTTAAACATTTTACACCATTACGCTAAGGGAGTGAATGACACTCTTATAATGAATACACAGTTTAATTGGAGGAATGTTTTGTCGTGTCACACAGATTTGAACTCTGCTCGTAAGCACTAAAATCTGGAGCTCTACTACAGAGTCAACCAGTATCCTGATAGATGAGGAAGAATAAAGTAAGTTAACACTGCTTAAAGTAAGAACTATCAGTATGGAAGATGCTGTTAAGGGTACTTACAAATTTCTTTTAGGACCTCGGAATAATGAATATTTTTTAAAATAATTTGGGACTTAACTAAAATTTATTTAGAAACATCAAAGATTAAAACACGAAAAAATGTATTGTTACTGATTAGCAAATCCATAAAGGACTAATTAGAGGACTATGAAGAAAAACTATGTAGTTAAGTATGATTTACTTTTTGTTAGGCCTACTTTTTTTTTTATTTGAGTGTTTATCGTTTGTTTCGAGTTTCTGTAATCCCCTCCAGCTGTTAGTGGTTTTGTGTTTATCATGAGGCCTTACCCCATTATTTGTAATTTCAAAAGATCATAAATGTTTTATTGAAGTACATATTTAAAGATTCATAAAAATACATATATTAACAAATCATTAACTATATTTCATTCACATGGTATGTAGATTATTTTCTGTGAGCTCTAGGCTATACCATGGCCAGGAAAGGGTTTGTTACCAAACCGGTGATACATAAATGTTATTCAACGACTTAATCATTTTTGGACTGACGTGTTTAAAGAATGCAATTATATTTTATACTTAGTATTTTTATTGTAACTATACTGGAAGTATAATTATCTATATTTCAAAGCTTTAATATGTGGTGACTCTGTGGTAAGCTTGAGGGCTTATAATGCTAAAATTCAAGGTTAATATCTGCAGCAGACAGTTTGTTGTGTAATTTTTTGCTAAATTAAACAGCAAACTATTTGTTATATCAGTATTATGTTACTTAGGTTATCATCTAATTACAATTTGTTTTATCAAAAGTTCTCTTTTTTCTTCTGTAGGCTCCAGTTTCTTCCTATTACTATCACTGGACTGAATCTCAAGGCATTATGGCTTTCTGAAAATCAGGTATATTGTAATTAAAGTACATTACATATAACTACCTAAAGAAGATTTCTATGTTCAAAATCCTTTGTTGGGATGTTTCTGTATAGGTTTATATGTATAATTAAGTTGACTTAGCATTTCTTTCAGTGGTGTGTTCACAATCTATAAGAGGATGAGAGCCTAAGTTTTACAACCTCTTCTTTCATCATGTGATGACTCTACTTATGAACTGTTGCTCTGCAACACAACTTCCACTACAGGAAACTTTTGCACAGTACATTCAGGCTATTGAAACCTCTCCTTCTTATTACATGCTTCCTAATGTCCATCAGCTGTCTGTGAACAAGCTCCCGAAGGCTCGTTTGAGCAACCCAAAGACATATTAGTTCGTGGAAGATATCTTCAAATGTACAACTTGTAGTTTAATTTTATGGAGTAAATTTGCATGTAGATGTGTATTGTGGCTAGATGCTTTGTCTCGATGGAGCCATACCTTACTGGTATCCATTCCATACTAGGATGGTATCAAAGTAGGCATTGGATCTCTGGAAGTTTAACTTATCATTATAGCTGTAACTTAAAACCACCATAAATCCTTCAGAAAACATCAGTTGATGTGCTGTGTTCCAGTTTTGGAATTTCTTAGTACAAGCAAGATGACAATAAGTTGTACGGTGTTTTGCCGACACTGAACTGTGCTTCATTCAATGTCATAAAATTCTTTTGTTTATATAGTTTTTTGATAGTTGATCGTCCATTTGGCTTTAAGAGAAGCTTGTGAATGTGGCTCTTGTGTCACTTTTGTATATAGACCTAAAAATTCATTTGTTTATAGATCCAAGAAAAGTTTCTTCTTTAACTGCAGTGTACTGCTAAGTTCTTGGGGGTTACTTTCAGTAACAAATTGTTTAACTTTATTTACTACCTCTAGTATGTGACTGATATAGTCATTCATGTATTTTTTTTAGGATTCACACTTTTCCTTGATTCAATATTACAGGTATCCGTTCTTTGCTTTGTATGCTTTTGTAACCACAAAATTGGAGAATTTCACTTCACAAAGTTCTATAATGTAATCTTCCAGACAATTTTAGGTTTCATCTGCATTTCTAGCTCACTAAACAACAATTGAAGTGCAAGAAGATGTGCATGGCTTTTAAACTGTTAGCCACAGATCATGAACAATCTTCTGTGATATTTTCATCTTCATTTAAAATTATTATTTAGCAAGAATTTAGTGTCACATTCTCAATTTTAAATGATATCATTTATTTTTGTTATGTAAAATATTCAGTTTAATTAACAGAGCCTTTTGGATTTTGTTTCAAATTGAACTGACAGCTTTTTCTCATTAAAGATAATAATTACTACTAAGAAAATATGAAAAATACATATGATAATGTCAATTTAACATTTTTACTGACTTAATGAAAAACATTAGTTTTCTGAATTGTGTGATAATTACTTAAGTTTCCTTGTATTTAGATTGTTCACAGAAACAAACTTAGACATTCAGTGCAACATGTAGAAATTTCACATATCTTATTATTTAGATTGTTCACAGAAACAAGTTTAAGTACTCAGTACTATAATGTGAAGAACTTTGCCTTACTTATTTTCTATACATTAGTCTGTATGAAACTGATTCCATGAAACTTTCAAATCATTTTTAACTAAACAAAGAAACCTAAAACAGTATTCAAAATATCATCAAAAAAAGACATTATTCGTAGTTACTAAAGAAATGTACTCAAACATAAAAAGGTTCTTAAAAATAGACTGTAATTTTGAAGTTGTGAGAACCCAAAACTCGTGTTGATTTGCTTTTCATAAACAAATGCATAAAGAACTATAATCTTAACTCCTTTGAGAAATTTAGGTGTTAAAAAGAAAATACATGTCATTTACTCCAAGCTTAAATTTTCTGTCCTACAAAATATGTGCCATAAATTCAAAGTTGGTGGTTCATTGTGCAAAACATATGCTATATATCTCAAGATTGAATGTTTTATCATATAGGGACCATATACCCCAATTTATAATGATCTGTAACACTTATATCTATGTCATAATGTGAAAATAATGTCTATGATCTAGTGAAATTCTATATAATTTATGACTTTTCTTGAGTATAAAAATAATAGTAGTAATAGAGATATAATTTAAATATTTTCAACTTTTTGTTAGTATTATTAGAGAAAATAGCAGTTTAAAATAGATGTTTACGTTGTTGTTTTTTTCAGTCAAAACCGTTGTTGAAGTTTCAGGCTGATGAGCAAGATGGTATGAAAGTTTTGACATGCTTTCTCTTGCCTCAGCAAGAGCACCACAAACAAAACCTTCGTAAGTTTCATAATTACAGTTTTTATTCCTTAGTGTTAAAAACCTTTTAATCTGTAAGTGCTCAAGAAAATTATTATATTTATTTGACTTACAGGAAGTTTTGTTTTTGTCATGAAATAGTGGATGGCATTGTAGTCTTCTAGAAGATTTAAGCTAAATGCGGACTATCCTGTGTTATTATATTGCGTAAATTTCACATTTTTTTGTCCTGGGAGCACAAAACTATTTTATGCTAATGCAGTATTATCTCCTTTATCTTTTGTAAGTCATTTGTGAATTCTTTGTTGAAGTAGGTTTTAGTTGCTTCTGAACTGTGCTAATGCCTCAGCTTTTTTTTTTAATATGTTCATTTTCATTTAATAAAAAAAAATAATAATTGTAAATTTTTTTTCCCATGGGAAGTCACTTGTAGATTTAAAAAAAATTACCTAAAGAAAAAGTAATTTATCTATATAAATAAATACAGAGACTTGTATAACTCCAAAAATAAAATACTAGTAAGAAAACACAGAAGGTAAAAAAATAAAGTAAAATTTTGTTCTTTAACATGAAATTTTTAAGTAATCTTAGCAGAAACATTGGGTGAATTTTACAAGAGATTTAAATGATTTAGTTGTTTATTCTTGTAAAAAATAATGCCAGGTCATTGTTTATAATCAGTGTTGAATCATCACATTTTGTACATTCTTCAAGCGTAGAGTCACCACAAGTAATGCATGGAGTGCATTATGTACAGTAGCATTTTGTTCTTTTTCAAAGGGGACGTGCAGGTTTAAGATCTGATGTTATATTTTATGCACCTTTCATCCTGTTATGAAGTGTTCTAATCTATCTTGTTTAGAAATCTGTCTTAACTAATACTAAGTCTTCCTTTTATTTGTGTTTATTTAAATTTACCTTGTTGTTCATATAACAGAGAGTCTACTCCAAGAAGAGTGGAATCATAAAGGAGGAGAGAGAGAATCAGCTGTCAGATTTTGTGACGAAAGTGAACAAGAGAAAGAACAAAAAGAGGTTGGTAAAAGTACAGTTTTATTTTCCAATATGGGGAGCATGTCAGGTGTGACACTTTAATTGACTTCATTGTTTTTCATTCCCCATTAGTATCTATGATTAAACTTGGTTATAGATTATTAAGAATAACTTCTGAGTGAAAATAAAGAAGTGTATAATAATACGTAAACTACGCTATATCTGCTTTATCCGGTGTTGACTAGCCCTTCTGCCTTGTAACGGGGCTCTTCAAGCCAGCAGGGATACGAAAGACACGGTAATGGTTGATACATTACTTATATTAATTTCCTGGTAGGCAAAAAAACCAGTAAACCTTTTCTGAAAATGCCTAATAACTTGTTTTTGCATATTAAAGCACACAAGGTTTATGATTTGTCCTATCACCTTTTTTGTCTGAAACTTCCCTGGAGTCATGTCTTTTTATTTACTTATATATATAGTGTATTTCAATAAATTGGAAGGTTTCATTGCACATGTATAAAAGAGCATGGCAATAAGAGCATTTGTGCAACACTAAAACATTAAAAAAAAAAAATAAGTTGTAGATATTTATACCGTGAATAACTGTAGTAAATAGTACAAATTAAGAATCAGATAATTATCATTAATTATTATTAGAAATTAGGAATGAGAGTAAAGAAGAATTTATAATAATATGTCAACCACATTATATCTGCTATATCCAATGCTGATAAGATCTTTTTGATCAATAACAATGCACATAAGGCTGACTGGGATACAACGATATTTATATCATCATTTGCTTCAACAATAAGCCTTTCAGTATGAACTAGATTTGGTAAACTGTAATTATTATCAATTTTATTTATTTAAAATGCCTATTCTTATTACAATACTGAAGTAGTGTTTTAAATATTAATGTAAAACTTAAAATATTTGTGTGTTTTTTGTGAAGGTTAAAAAAATATACCTAGTGTTGTTTATGAAAGGTAAGATATCTGTCTTTTTAAGTTTAAAATGTCTGTGTTTCTTGTGAAGATTGAAATAATTGTGTGCTTTTTATGAAGGTTAAAATATTTTATTAAAATGTTCTGTTTGTGTACATTAGCCTAAACTTAATTTGTAAAATGTTTTAAATTACTGTGATAAACAATTACCAATACCAAATTATTTTTTCATATGTAGAATTAATAAAGTCTTTCAAAAAATAGTAAAACTGTTCTAGATAGCTAAAAAGGACATCTGGTAGTAACCATGTATCAAGCAGAATAAGTCAGTCATTTATTGGTCACAAAGTGTGGAATGGATGTTTTCTTCGGTGTATTATTTTTATTCTTTTGAAAGAAAGGTTGTGGTCAGTGATGCAGCATGATCTAGCTAAAATTAATGTCTGTTCTCACAAGTTTTTATTTACATATGTATACTTTAATGTATATATTTTTTGCTTTTTTAAAGACTCAGTTTATCAGACATGACACTCCTCATCCCAAAGAAATGAAGGCAAGGCTTCACAAGCTGCTTGTCTATAAAACAAAAAACATTGATGGCCATGTCGTGTCCCATGATGAGGTAAGTATATCTGAAACTTGTTTACAAAATATATACAAAAAGAGACTGAAGATTAAAACAAAAACATGTATTTGTTTGATATTTTGGGAAGTGCATTCTTTTTATTTCCATGAAGTAAATGATGAATAATTGGTCATTGTAGACATTTTTTGCCAAAAAGTTGGAAGTAAGCTTTAATAATGTTTTGAGAATTGAAGGCATTAAACAGTTCTTAGATTATCAAATAATTCATTAAGCAACTTTATAGATTATCAAATGATTCATTAAACATTTTGTAGATTATCAAACAATTCATTAAACATTTTGTAGATTATCAAACAATTCATTAAACATTTTGTAGATTATCAAATGATTCATTAAACATCTTTATAGATTATCAAACAATTCATTAAACATCTTTATAGATTATCAAATGATTCATTAAACATTTTGTAGATTATCAAATGATTCATTAAACATTTTTATATATTATCAAATGATTCATTAAACATCTTTATAGATTATCAAACAATTCATTAAACATTTTGTAGATTATCAAATGATTCATTAAACATTTTGTAGATTATCAAATAATTCATTAACCCTGTTGCCATGGGTATGGTATTATTTACTGCGCATTACAC